GCTTCTGCGGACAAGGGACCACTTCTGCGGTCCCGCTTATGCGGAAAATGAGTCGCTTCTGCGACTTTCACTAAAGAGCCGATGTCCGCTTCTGCGGACCACTAACTGCTTATGCGGTTCCGCTTCTGCGGAAATTAAGCCGCTTCTGCGGTTCTAATAAAAGTCCAAGATTCCGCATCTGCAGTTCCCTTTCTCGCAAATGCGAGGCCGCTCCTGCGGAATTTCCTCCGCATCTGCGGTACCTGAAAAACTCTGCCCAAACCCGCTCCTGCGATGACCAGGCCGCTTCTGCGGCTCCGCTTCTGGGTTCCCAAGCCGCAGAAGACGAAAATACCAGAAGAGAGAAAAACCAGCTGCTGCAACACTTCAAAAATTCTTCCGTTAACCACCCGAACTCATCCCGAGGCCCCCGGGACCTCAACCAAAAGCACCAATGACACCTAATACCTCATTCAAACTTGTACCAATCCTTAAACCACCTAAAACAACGTCGGAAACTCGATTAATTCAAGGATTTGAGCCTAAGAACTTCAAATTCCATCAAAATACATTTTCGATCAAAAACCCAACCAAAACACGTCCGAATGACCTGAAATCTTGCACACACATCCCAAATGACACGACGGAGCTACTGCAACTTCCGGAATTCCATTCCGGCCCTCGGATCAAAAATTCACTATCGGACCGGAAACTTCAAAAATTCAACCTTCGGCATTTCAAGCCTAAATGAGCTACGGACTTCCAAAATACATTCCGAACACGCTCCCAACCCCGAAATCACCTAACGGAGCTAACGGGACCATCGGATTTCCATTCCGAGGTCGTCTTCACACTGCTCTGACTACGGACCATTTCTCAGCACTTAAGCTCTCATTGAGGGACTAAGTGTCCCAAAACTCTCCGAAGCCCAATGTTGAACGTCCCGGCAAACCAAAATAGCAGAAATGAACTTAGGGGAAGTAGTTAATAGGGGATCGGGGCGTAAATTATTAAGACGACCGGCCGGGTCGTCACATCCTCCTACACTTAAACATTCGTTCGTCCTCGAACGAGCATAGAGAACATACCTGAAGTTCTGGCTGCGCATATCCCGCTCGGTCTCCCAAGTCGCCTCCTCGGCCGGCTGACCCCGCCACTGAACCTTCACTGAAGAAATGTTCTTTGACCTCAGCTTCCTGATCTGCCTGTCCAATATAGCCACTGGCTCCTCAACATAGGATAGATCCTTGTCCAACTGTACTGAACTGAAATCCAACACGTGAGACGGATCAACGTGATACCTCCAGAGCATCGAAACATGAAATACCGGATGAACTCCGGCCAAACTGGGAGTCAAGGCAAGATCATAGGTAACCTCCCCAACTCGCCGCAAGATCTCAAAAGAGCCAATAAACCTCGGACTCAACTTTCCTTTCTTCCCAAACCTCATGACGCCTTTCATAGGCGAAACCCGAAGTAGAACCCGCTCACCAACCATATATGAAACATCACGAACCTTCCTGTCCGCGTAACTCTTCTGTTTGGACTGGGTTGTACGAAGTCTGTCCTGAATAAGCTTAACCTTCTCCAATGCGTCCTGAGCCAACTCTGTGCCCAATAGCCTGGCCTCACCCAGCTCAAACCAACCCACCGGAGGTCTACACCTCCTACCATATAAAGCCCCATACGGCGCCATCTGAATGCTGGACTGATAACTGTTGTTGTAAGCAAACTCCGCCAATGGCAAGAAATGATCCCAAGACCCTCCAAACTCAATTACACACGCACGGAGCATATCCTCGAGAATCTGAATAGTGCGGTCGGACTGTTCGTCCGTCTGGGGGTGAAATGCTGTGCTCAACTCCACCCGAGTTCCTAACTCCTACTGCACGGCTCTCCAGAACCGCGATGTAAACTGAGTACCTCTGTCCGAAATGATAGAAACTGGAATACCATGCAGACGGACGATCTCCCGGATATAAATCTCCGCCAACCGCTCCGATGAATAAGTGGTACACACAGGAATGAAATGAGCGGACTTGGTCAGCCGATCCACAATGACCCAAATGACATCAAACTTCTTCAAGGTCCGTGGGAGTCCCGATACAAGGTCCATAGTGATGCGCTCCCACTTCCACTCTGGAATCTCTATCTGCTGAAGCAACCCACCCGGGCGCTGGTGCTCATATTTCACCTGCTGGCAGTTGAGGCATCTAGACACATAACCAACTATATCTTTCTTCATCCGCCTCCACCAGTAGTGCTGCCTCAAGTCCTGATACATCTTCGCGGCACCCGGATGGATGGAATACCGCGAACTATGGGCCTCTAATAGAATCAACTCTCGAAGATCATCAACATTGGGCACACAAATCCGGCCCTGCATCCTCAATACTCCGTCATCCCCAATGGTCACATCTCTGGCATCTCCACGCTAAACCTTGTCCTGAAGGACAAGAAAATGAGGGTCGTCATACTGCCGCTCCCTGATACGATCAAATAAGGAGGAGCGGGAAACCACACAAGCTAGAACCTGACTGGGCTCCGAAAGATCCAATCTCACAAACTGGCTGGCTAAGGCCTGAACATCCATTGCCATAGGCCTCTCTGAAGCTGGTAGATATGCCAAACTCCCCAAACTCTCCGCCCGGCGACTCAAGGCATCCGCCACCACATTGGCCTTGCCCGGGTGATACAGGATAGTAGCATCATAATCCTTCAACGACTCTAACCACCTTCTCCGGCGCTAATTTAGATCCTTTTGCTTGAACCAGTGCTGCAAACTCCGATGGTCAGTATAGATCTCACAAGGCACACCGTACAAATAATGACGCCAGATCTTCGAGGCATGAACAATGGCAGCTAACTCAAGGTCGTGGATAGGGAAATTCTTTTCATGTATCTTCAACTATCTGGACGCGTAGGCAATCACCCTACCGTCCTGCATCAACACCGCTCCAAGGCCAACTATCGAGGCGTCACAATAGACAGTATAAGACCCCGAACCGGTAGGCAACATCAAAATTGGGGCTGTAGTCAAAGCTGTCTTGAGCTTCTGAAAGCTCGCCTCACACTCCTCTGTCCACTGAAATAGGGCACCCTTCTGGGTCAATCTAGTCATAGGGGCCGCAATCGATGAAAATCCCTCCACGAAGCGACGGTAGTAGCCCGCTAAACCAAGGAAACTATGAATCTCTGTAGCTGAGGACGGCCTCGGCCAACTCTGTATGGCCTCTATCTTCCTCGGATCCACCCGAATACCCTCACTC